CGGTAGCCACACCCAAACAGATGCATTCATCATTGCTTGTAATTCTTACATGCGTTCTGTTGGTTGATAAAGTCCTTTTTGATACAGTTCATTACAAGCTTCAGCATTAAGACATTCAAAGATGAGTATATCATCGCTAAGTTCGAAGAATAGGTTGAAATGCTATGAAAGTATTGATAGCGGACACTTATTCAATAGTAAGGGTAGATCGATACGAACCCGTTCTATATCACTCCTCTACCTTTACAGAGATTCAGACAGCTCTGAGCAAAGTAGTATATAGAACATTGGATAATCCTTTCAGAAACGTACCGAAGTTTACATCGGCTTCTTGACAATGTAATGAAACGTTCTGAGATAGTAGGACTTGGGTTTGAAAGCATAGCTGTATGTTCAAAAAATTTGAAAACTTTGCGAAGAGGTTCATAAGGATGTGAGTGTGGGTGTAGGTAATTCTTCTTTCATCACCAGCACCCACACCCCATGCTTGTCTCTGTGTACACAGCAATCGCAACTATGATTGCCATGTTAACATCGGTTTTCAAGAGAAGCTAAAACTTTTGAATTAGCAATAATGTTAAGGACTAATGTGTCCCTCTCCCAATACCTCGACATGCTTCTTAGATCATCCCCTATAACTTCATTACCTCTCATATCTCCATTACCTCCTATAACTCAATTACTTTTATCAAGCGAAAGTGGAAACAGCTTCCGAAAATTCAAATAAGGCATCTAATCAAAAGTTGAGAACAGCAGATTGATTTGTATGATAGACATATAGGTCGGTCTGTTTTCAATTGATTCACGTACACCCATACCCACCCACATCCATACCCAAACTCATTACACCAGACTCAAAAGCAAACACAAAGACAATACCCACATCCGAAACCCAAACTCAAACTTAAACACAATACTCAAATCAACCTCAGACCAAAGCCCACAGCCAAACTCATTAGACCAAAAGAATACTCAAGCCCGAACTCATTAGAAGAAGTCGAAACCAAAAACCCAAACTGAAATTCAATACCCACATCCAAACCCAAACGTAAAAGAGAACTCCTTACACAAAAACAAAACCTAAAGCAAAACTCACTACACTGATCAAACACCAAAACCCAATCCAGAAACACAAATTCAATAGACAAACCCAAACCGAAACTCAAAGTGGTTCGGTTTCATGCATACGTAGATACAGGAGAGAAAAATGTGCTTGATATTGCAGATATAAATACATTTTGTAGCGTTCAAGCATGCAGACTGACAGTGTTGTATGGTAGCCACTTGTTTCTCGTTTCTCTTCGTTATGCATTTGCCATACTCATCAAGTAGAAAAGAAATGCATCATTAGTGAGCCTATTACCTTTTTTCTTTTGTTCTGAGCAAGGAAGAACGATTGTACTACATAAACACTATTTGTGTGATATTGCCACTCGTAATTGCTCTAATTTTGTCATTGAAGAGAAAATGATAATTGTTATTGCACATATCATTAATTTATCTAAGATATAAAAGCAGACGTCTCCTTGTATTACATGGTCGCTGCTTGTTTACCATTATTCTTCATTATGCATCTATGATACTCATTAATTAGAAACGAAATGTATCATTAGGAAGCCTATTACCTTTTTTCTTTTGTTCTGAGCAAAGGAAAACGATTGTACTACATAAACACTATTTGTGTGATATTGCCACTCGTAATTGCTCTAATTTTGTCATTGAAGAGAAAATGATAATTGTTATTGCACATATCATTAATTTATTTAAGATATAAAAGCAGAGGTCTTCTTGTATTACATGGTCGCTGCTTGTTTACCATTATTCTTCATTGCAGATTTACCATACTCATCAAGTAGGAATGAAATACACCAGTAGAGAACATAAAGTCATTTCTCTTTGTGCCAAGGGAGATGGAACGACTGTCTATCTTGAAAATTATTTCTTTGATATTACTTCTCGTTCGTTGTTGGACATCGTCGACAAGTTGAAAAAGTTACTTGCCTTTGCGGATATCATTAATTCTTCTACAGTATCAAAGCATGGAGCACTATTGGACGAATGGAAAGAAAAAATGTTCCGGCTTGCAGCTAGCTTGCGATAAACAGTGCAGCCTAGAGGTGGATTGTTTAGCCCGATATTCCAGAATAACTATTGGTAGTGGTAGCTCTTTTCAAAAGCCAGGTCTTGTGTAGATTTCCTGCGCTTAATCGCTTCATCTTCTTCTATGCACTAACTGGATAATACTACCAACTTGTGCAGGCATATGTCACGATTCAGATAGCATGCTATCCAGCGACTGATCTGAAACTATCAGCGGTCAGTAACTTTTCTAAGGATATTCGACAACCGTTGGTACCGAGGTTTCAACACGGTACCTATCAGATGCTGGTCGAATGCCCTAACCACTCGGCAACGGCGGATGTGGAGAATGGCTGTATTTCCTAGCAGCCATTTGTTTCTCAATTTTCTTAGTTAGATCTTTTACGAATGAATTAAGTACAAAGTGATACGACATATTCACCCAATTATCCTTGTTTTTCTTCGAAAAGTGGAAAGTACTGCCCTTCAAAATAGGAAAGAAATAGTGGAAATTTAGAAAGAACAAATAGATGCAGCCTAAACCTGCATTATATACCTTGATTTATTTTTCCTATCTGAGTTTATCATGGGTTTCTATTCGTCCAAGTGACAGGTTTCATCGAAATCCAGTACTTCTGATTTATTTTCACTTGTTTTTTTCCTATATTTTTCTTGTCTCATTATAGATTATAATAAACATATTTTTCTCATCGTTTCTACACAAAAAAAAAATAATCACAAAAATGAAAGACCAAGTACGCCCATCATTTTCGACTATGCAACCTCGGTAAGTAAATTCCTTGTACTTTTCTTTTGTGTCATGGATTAGAATGATAATTCCGAATGTTTGTGGTACCATAGATGAAACCACACTTCACAGTGGAACGATGGTTATTTTGATGGAAAAATTCTAACATTTCTGTGATGGACTGAAGGAATAACGTTGTCGCCAGTCTTGAGAATGATGCTTTTAGAAAAAAGCAATAGAACAGATAGTCACGCAGTAGAGTATCATGAGATAGGAATAAGTTAGTACTCGGTCACATGTCACAGAGTTTGAATACAAACAAAAAGCAACGATTAATCATTGCTGGACCCGCGGACCCAGAATGAAGCTCTCCTAAGCAACGAAAAGTTTCATCAATGAAGGAACACAAAAAATTATGAGCCAGACTAAAGCAACGCCTTGACAATATAATAAGTGCAACAGAAAATTTTACTTTTTCTCATTCAATCAATAATTCAGTTCATTGTCCGGTATAAGTGAATAGGACCTATTGCGATTTCGCCATCCGAATTTCGACAATATTTAAATTCCACTGGAATCTGGACAATGTTGTTGATATTACACAACTGTCGAAATTCTTTAGGAATTAAGAATACGAAATGTTTAAAATTTTATAAAACAGTAAATATTGAATGTTTTATTATAGGAGTATATAGTATAACGTTTCGTCTTTAATAATCTATAAAGCAGCTCTAGCTTGGATTTAGTTCTAACATCCTGCTAGACTAAGCCTATAATTTAGCGACCATGCTAATATATAACTAAATCTTGTCCAATGTTCAGATATATTCTGGAATTTTTCATATTTTCCATTGGTCACTCTCTCTCGTCACATTTTATGAGGTCATCATCTAGAATATTACATTTCCATAGTATATATAGATGAGAGGTCGTTCACTGTCAGCTCATGTGTACTGCACCCGACTTCAAATCGTGATAGAATCTGGTTTCAACTTTAAAACGATCTATTAAACATGACTGATTGAATTTAATCGATACTACATCAGAATTCGAGCTATTTTGAGAATAGATTCAAAAACAATCTTCGATGAACTTAAAGAAGCATTAGGACCTGATGCTTCATCATATCCAATGGTCAGAAAATGGGCGCAACGTTTTCGTGAAGAAAGAGAAGATGTCAGTAGTGATCCTCGGTCTGGTCGTCCGATTTCGGTACTTACAGATGGAAATGTTGAGCGCGTTCGACAAGTTATCAAAGATGACCCACACTCAACTTATGATGATATTACGGTTGAGACTGGTCTATCTCGTGGTACAATAGAACGTATTATTCATGATTGTCTAAAGATGAGAAAAGTTACATCACGTTGGGTTGTTCATCAACCCACTGACGAACAAAAACAAGAACGATTTAGAATTTGTCGTCAAAATTTAGAGAAATTCAGAAACGGAACATGCCGGTTATGTGATATTATTACTGGTAATGAGACATGGATTTATCATGGACAGATTGATCGGAAGTCAAGCAATTCTACCTGGGTTGGTGAAAATGAATCACCAAGGACCGTTGTTCATCAACATAGATCTGAACCTAGAACACGGTTTTGCTTATTCTTTAAATCCACTGATCCTGTTATTATACATAAAGTAGATGAAGGCAAGACTATCGATCACAACTACTATATTGAAAATTGTCTCATATCTGTTATCAATGAAATAAGAAAAAAAGGAAAATCATTACGCACAAAATATAAACTGCTTCATGATAATGGTCCATCTCATACTCATCGAGATGTTGTTAAATATTTAACAGAGGAAGGTATCGAAATAATCCCACATCCACCACATTCACCAGATCTTGCACCATGTGACTCTTGGCTAAATGATTATATCAAGAGAAATTTGGCTGATCACACAAAAGAAGAATCGCTGGCTCAGGAGGTTTTCATCATAGTGAAGAATATTTCAGTAAACAAGTTTAAAAAGACTTGCGATAAACTGTTAGAAAGGATGGAACTTTGTATAGAAAATAATGGTGATTATTTTGAGTATTTAATAAAATAAAACTACGAATATTTCTTTTTTTTCGCATTCTGGTTTTATGTTGTCAGGATCTTTTCTTGGCCATAAGTACGATAGATTTTATCCAACAAGATGTTAGAACTAAATCCAAGATAGAGCTGCTCTATAGATTATTAAAGACGAGACGTTATACTATACACTCCTATAATAAAACATTCAATATTTACTGTTTTATAAAATTTTAAACATTGTGATTCGAACTTTTGGTACACCCTAAGTATAAATAAACCATTCATTTGCACTCCAGACGTTTATAGGTAGGAGTGAAAAATTCGGTTATAAGAATCTTTACAATGCAGTTAGCAGAATGACTAAGTAATCTAAAAGTGATATAGCACTTGCCATAGAAATGAGGAGGTCAGTTATTTATAAAAAGAGAATACTCCAAGAGATTTCTTAAAAAAAACATTCCTAGAGATTATAAACGAAGATCGCGTATCTCCAATAGGATATCATTACTCAAACATAGTCTTCTTAGTCAGATTTTTCGTGCCTTATTATAGTAGTGTTCTCGAATATATTAATATTCAAACTTTATGTGAAATTTGCGAGCAATCTTGATCTTTCCCAATCCTTTTTTTCGAAGACTTCAGTTTAACATGTATTTCTTTCATCTGTTGGGATGAAGGAAATTTTTACGATTTCCAAATTTGATAGGAAGTGCTCTATGCACCTTATTGGAAAATGTCTCGAATAATAATCAACTCTTCCAATAGTGCCTTCACCATTGAAAATGTTTAAAACGCATCTGGACATCGGCCTTATAACAGTTCTAACGCCTTTTCTAAAACTTAATCGGTAAGATAACTACAATGTACACAAGAAAAGATTTGAAGTTTCTTAGATGAGAATGTGAACGGGTTTGCTGACAAATCTTTGACGTACTAAAAATCATATCTCTACTAGAGAATAGAGAAAGTTCAATTAGTTGACTCTAGTTTGCATACAGCTGATTCATAGAGAGTTCTCCGTTCTTATTCTTAGCATAACTTCTTTTTTCAAAGTCAACGGACAACATAACTGATGTAGCTGACATTACTGAAGAATTCTTTTAAAAATACTATCCTATTTTTAGAAGCGCAATGCAAACTGTATGGGCACCAATAGTCGCCATCCTCTGTATGCTGTTATTTGCTGCTGCTATAGCAATAATAATCATTCTTTCATTGATACCAACTTATTTGCCATATAGAGCAGTTGGATCTCGTAAGACCAACGGTAAGCGAATGTCTTCTTTTATTTGCTTGAATGATTTCATTATCTATTCAAAAGATTGAATAGATTCTGATGCTATAATTTATTTTTATCAATCGAGAAGGAATAGTTTACCACTTCAGGTATAAGTGTAGAAATTCGAATGCATCATGAGATGAGATGTGATGGGACTAACTTGAACATTTAAAGTCTCATAGAAATTATGATTCTCTTTTGATGACTGCTGATGTTTTTGTATATCTGGCGTGAGCCGAATAAGTTCGAAATAAAGTATAGATGAATAATGAGTTAACGAATACGAAGCTAGTATCAATATTCGTATGTATTTTTACAAGTAGCACCAGTTTTCATAGAAAATAGCGCTCGATAACATTGAATCTGATTCACATACATTTTGAAAAAAAAGCGACTCTACCCTAGAGTGCGAAATACAATATAAAAAAAGGTGAAACTCATTTTGTCTTTCAAAATTGAATATACGAGCTCAAAATAGGATGGATTTGTCAGCAGCAGACCTATTGCTGTAGAACATGTATGACAGTAGTGAATTACAACTTTGTCAAATCATAATGTTTGATTGAGCTCGAAAAGTAGATCGTTATATGATTATCGCCTTTTAAAAAGATCAGTCGAGTGATCAACGTACAGATTTTTGACACCATCCAAAAGCATTCATTCATATAACGCTACAACTCTAAATATAAACTGTCAAGTTTCAATTATGATAACAGCGAACAATTAAGTTGCATTTGAACTTGACTCTCAAAACTAGCGAAGAGCTTTTCCTCACAATTTGTCCTATTTTCATCTCCCAAATAGTTCGGTGACATTATTTCTGTATTTGTAACTGCTAAAAATGATTATCTAGCCTGCTTGACATTATTGCTATGCCATTCTAACTTCAATTGGTTTTATAGTTACGATGAATGTTCAACTAAACTGTCATACGGTTATTTTAATCTTCAAATCTAGTTTAACGACATTGGAGTGAGGAGCCTAACAATAATTCTCGAAACTCGTAGTTTTTGGAAGTGATGTCATCGGACTAAGGCAAGAAATGAAAGTAGATCTTTAACAAAAAAATCATTCGTGGTTTTTGACTAATTGATATAAAAGACTTCTGGTTCTCTAAATGTTATGAATACCATTAAATAATAACAACATTAAACTTCCAACTCGAATTGTTAGCTTCACATAGAATGCAAAACATGCGATCTTTTTGGGGCTCTCTCATTAATTGCATGCTGATTTTAGCTGAAATTTTGTGAGTAGTTGAAATAAGAACTGATGTATCGAAGCTAAATATTCGTGATAAAACGAGAGTAGTACTATGAATTTGCTATAAAAACTAGGCCTTTAGTTTGAATAAAAGAATAGAATATTGTGTCTTTGGGCTCAATGTTGTACGTTCTACTACTCTATTTGAGATTGAAATATGTAGTTAAAGAAATGATGTTGCAGTTTTTTCATTTACATCGGTAGTAAAATTCCCCAATCGTTTTAAGAGCAATAATTCTTGTTTTAGTTTGGTATTTATTGCTCTAATTGCAGATTCTTTTATCGAGAAATTTCTTCTTAAGTTTACTTTTTGTTAAACTAATCTGGCGTTATCAAGTTCTAATAAGTGATTTTGATGCTGAAGGAAAATGATCCCATTGACTAAACTATTCGGCAAATGATAATAAATCTTCATCGGAAAACAGAGTACGTTAGAAGAATTTTGAAATACTCTTGTGAATGATGTAAAGGCTTATATTGAGTCAAAGCTTTATTAATCAGGATGCACTAAGATCAACCCAAAGCAGCTGAACTATTCAATTAATTCTTTATTTTTGTTTCTTTTCATGTATTGAATAAAATAGCTACTACTACAACAACTACTACTACATCAACTACAAGGACAACCACGACAACTACTAGCAGTAAGTAATAGACTAAATAGTTAAATACTGTTTCCTACACCGATTTAATGAAAAAAATAGAATGTTTGAAAACTATTGATCTTCCCATATACAAAGATTTTCAAAATAAGTAAAACGTTGCACTTAAAATATCTCGAAAAATGAAGAAACATCATTTTACGAACGAAGGTCATCTAATCACGCGCACTTGAGAAGAAAATGAAGCTATTGCAGTTGTTCGATCTTTTTCTCTCATTGTCGATGGGTTTTAGTTTTTTGATTGAACACACACTACTCTTTCACTAGGAGATTACGTAGGTTTTAGACTGATGAAATCAATGAGTCTTTAATAAGTAAATCAACTTTTAATTGAAACTATTGATAAACAAAGTTGAAAAATTTATATGGCTATCACTATTCTCTAATGCAACTGTTAGGTCATTAGATAAGTCTCCAATTAGTATTGAGAAACTCAAAGTGATCTTACTTTAGAAAAGTAGGTCTTGAGTAGAATCCTGAAGATTTGATGAGATTGGCTTGGTACGTAAGACCAATTAAGAAATCGTGAACGAAATGTTGTCATGCAGATTAAAAAGCTGCTTTTCTTTCGAACACAGTATAAGATTTAGGTGGTCAAGTAACAACAGAAAATAGGGAAATAAATTGTACTTGCATGGCTCTAACAGGCTTCTACCAGCTTTGGAAAAAAGTAGCTTCTGAAAGTAAAATTTTTGGGTTTTATAAATTAAGCTTCTGAATGATTCATTGTCTTTAAATTCGTTAATATATGTTAACATCTATACAAGTAGATAGTCAAGTTTTAAAACTAATATTGATCATATTCTCGGATTCATAAGATCTTCTAAAAAATCAGAGCA